ATGCGCAAAAGCGCAAAACAATAATTTTAAATATTTAATATTTATAACATTTTAAAGTTTGTATTCATGCTTAAAAAGAAAATTAATTTTACTGAAGTTAATTGTTTATATACAAAATATTATACATATATATAATAATATCTAAAAAATAAAAGGTTAACGCGCGTCTCTTCTGTCACTCTGAACCGAGTGAAAAATTAACCAAATCGTGTACTTACACAAGTATTTTTTTTTAACGAATACCGCAAGGGGTATTGATATTATACTTATTACATATTATTTTTATTTTATGGTGCATCATATACCAGCTTTTCATAAACTATAAAGTACACTTATATTAAAGTATATGCAAAGTTTCAAGAAAATTGACAGAAAATCAATCTTCCGGAGAACATCCTTAAAATATGTTTACGCATAAATAATATCGAATTTTGCTTGTATTCCAGGAGGTTGATTGTGTATTTCAAAACTTAGTGAAAATTACAAAAGCGTGCAAATTCACCAGGTGTTAACTAATGAGATTATAAATATTTTTGTAAATTCGCTCACTTTTGTAATTTTTACTAAGTTTTGAAGTACATAATCAACCCCCAGGTAAAACAAAGAAAGTGATGATAAACGACGGTTTTGACGTCATATTGACATCATTTTTACTAGGCTGTTTTTACTGGGAATGTGCACTGGTACATACTAGTGTATCCAATCGAAATTACCATAAGTAATCAATATACTTACTAAAATATGTAAACGATCTGTATCCGACTCAAAGCTTTTGAATTCCTCCACCGTAGCTAATGGAAGACCGTCTGGACGATCGTACAGATTCTCTTGTATTGTTTCCATTTTACTAATTGATTGTAAAGATTTTATATGAGCCAATATACTTGTATTTTGCTCTACTATTTTGCTGCAAATTATTATATTTGTCGAGAATTAAATGTACTTTGTATTCTATGTTACAATATATTATAACTGTTAATGTTTAACTTACTTTAAAAACTGAATAACGTAATTTTGAAACGAGATATTCTCTTCTTCAGTGACTACTGATCGATTTGATGACGCATCTCTTGTAAATTCTGCAAATGCGAGTATTACCTTGATTATTCAATTTTGTAACACATTTATTATAAACAATGCATTATTGTTTCTACAATTATCTATACATTGTGTATTATATTTTTACCTGATTGTTGTAAACTGTGATCAGTTATTGGTCTTTGGTCTTGAATAACTGCATGTTTCTTGTGACAAGAATTGAAAACTGGTCTATCAATGTTTTGTGAACCTTTTGTAGCAATAACATTATTCTTTGAACAATTAATAGTTTTTAAACGATTAGAATGATTACTGATGTGTACTACTTCTCCCAAAACGCTGCGATTAGTATCTTTACTATCTTCACGGATCATCATACTTGAGTTTAAATCAGTAATACTACGAACCAATGAGGAGTGTGTTTCATTTACATGCAATTGTTTTGTTGGTGCATTCTCTTTAAACATTAGAATTGTGAACTTGTTTGTTATCGGTTTGCTTAAAAATCGGATGTATGATTTTAGCTACTTTAGGTGCTAAATTATCTAGTGCTTTATCAATATGTACAGGTTTTGTTTTGATTATTCTTCTCTTTTTAATATTTTCATCTGACGAAGTTGTTAATATTTTTTTAGGTTTTATTATTTGTCTTCCTTTCGATGTCACTTTCGACTTTTCCATCTTGTCACTATAAAACAGATGTTTCCTTCAATAAAGAAAACAATGAATGAATGAATGCATTAACTCTACACTTAATTATATGATTCTGGTAGCATTGCAGTAACTATCCACCAATGCTTTTCAACATTCTCTTCATGTCCAGTTCTTGTATTCCATTTAGGAAGTCTAAAACACTTAGTATATACGTCTTGTAAAGGAACAATACAGAGCTCTGACAAACTTTTACACTGAAAAATTCCCAGTAATTTTGAATCAATTGTGTAATTATGCAGTTCACTTATTTCTGTATATTTTCTTACAAGAAAGTAATAGCATGATCCAATTTGAATAATATTTTTTATCAAGCATACAGTATAATCTCTCAAAAGACAACAGTTGTCACGTTTATTTATTCCGTATGTTAAATAACCGCGTTTTAGTAATTTATATTGCGTACACGTTTCATGTAAATTATCTATAATAGGACCATCTCTATGAATAATGGATACACGAATAGTATTTAGAAATTTTGGTTTTTCAAGTGTAGTACAAGCATCTTGTTCATGTAAACGTTTCACAAATTGTTGAAAATGTTGATGAGGTTTCCGAATAAAAGTACGAAATTGTGGCATATTATTTTCAAATGCGAATGCT